CATAGTCATTCCTTTTTAACCCTTTCTGGAATAAAACAGTGTTGGGCAGAAGGGGAAGGAACTAGAGAATTCTATCCCCCGAGACAAGGAGTTTGAGGGAGAAGGAAGAGGAGGAAGTGGGACTGGCAGCACAGTCTCCCACTTCTGGCTCAGTGTGGCGGAGGCTGAGGGCTTTGGGGCCAGCCAGCCCCAGCCTCTGCCTGCCTGGGTAGCCCTGGTCATGGCACTTAATCTTCCCGAATCACATTTACTTACCCATAAAGCGGGGCGATAAGATCTGTGCCTGAGCTTGTTGGAAGGATGAAGACAGACAGAACTTTGAGGCTGACTCTCAGGGTAGGGTCTCCATACAGGTGCCCACAGCAGTGAGGCAGCCGGGGAGAAACCCTCGGTGGTGATGAGGTGGGGTAAGTGGGCTCTCTAAAACCGAGAGTGGTGTCCTCCAACTCTCCAGAAGGCTCGCTAGGTGGGGTCCTGGTGGGGATGGGGAACCAGGATCAGGCAACTATCACAAACCAGGGGCTGACAGTGGGTCAGAGCATCGTAACAATGAAAAGGTAGCCTGCTCAGGATTAAGGAAATAAAGAGGACTTTCTAAAGCCATTAATTCCTATGATGCACTTTTTGCATTTGTTTCTTTTTCTTTTCCCTTTATGCATATTGTGCACTTCTGCGTCTGGCAAACATCCCCCAAGCAATAAAAAGTTTTCTGCAGTGACCATGTCAGTTGGAGGAAATAATTAAGGAGTGAATAACTCCTGCTTTATTATTCCCTGTCAGCCTCCAAGTCATTCCGCTTATCTGATGTTAACTACGCCACAGGAGCATCCCGTGCAGCGTGGTCTCTATTTCCTACGCGCTGGAAGCTGGGGAGGAAATGAGCGGGGAAGGTGAGGCCAGCTGGACCCAGGGAAATTGCAGACCCATTGCCTTTGCTCAAAATCATTTTAACCAATACCTTTGAGAAAGCTAATAGAAACCACGCGAGGGAGGCTTTGCATCTCTCCAAACATTTAATATAAAACATGCACAAACATGGTTTTGTTTTCCTCAGACAAAGTCTGGAGGTCAGATTTTCAGGGAATTTCTATAAGAAATTTGTGAAAGTAAGGAAAATGAGGGGCCCACTTGGCCTTTCCACTTTGGGGTGAGGATGGTGAAAGAGGGGGCAGATTGTGTTGGGGAAGTAAAATGGGTGGGTGGGTCTTCCTTCCAGTTCACCAAAATGGGTGTGATGATGAATTGTATGTGTCAGCTTGACTAGGCCACACTACCGAGATATTGGTTGAACGTTATTCTAGAAGTCTCTGTGAAGGTGTTTTTCAGATGAGATTAACATTTACTTCAGCAGACTTTGGTGATCCTCCATAATGTGGGTGGGCCTCGCCCAATCAGTCAAAGGACTTAAGTGAAAGACTGATCTTTCTGAACAAGAAGGAACTCTGCCTCCAGACGTGAGCTGCAACCTCAGCTCTTCCTAGAGTCTCCACCTGCTATCACACCCTGCAGAATTCAGACTTCCCAGCCCCCACAGTGTGAGCCAGTTCCTTAAAATAAATCTCTCTCTCTCTCCACATACTCACATCCTATTGGTTCTGTTTCTCTGGAGAATCCTGATTGATACAGGGGATGAACACTGCCCCAACCCAGGTACAAAGAAGGTGCTCAAGGTGAGACGGGTCAAGGACGGGGCTGCTCTGATCACTATAGCTCTCCCAGAGTATTTATTGATGAGTGGGTGGAGTTAGGCTAACATCTGAGTTGTGAGAGCCAAAAAAGATTCTTGGGCCCCCACCCGGCTCGGAGATGGCAAGCTGGTTCTGAGAGCTTCGGGTCACACGTCTATCCGCTCGCCATCCATCCACATAAGCAACCCTGACTACGAGGAAGTCTCTAGGCACTGGGGATTCTGCAGTGGGCGAAGCATGTCTTGCCTTTCTAGAGCCTACAGTCCAGTGGGGAAGAGACTATAAACAGATAACTAAGGATAAGAGGAGAAACAAAGTAGAAGGATGGAGGTGGAGGGACTGCTTCTCTTAAAGGTCTTCCTTGTAGCAGACACTGTGCCAGGACACTGAGAGAGATACGAGCCCTGCCTTCAAAGAGGCTACAGTCTCCTGCGGGGGGCCAACTAGTTACTGGGCAGTGAGAACACAAGATTGGTGGCCCTGCGAAGCCCTCCCAGGGGCTCTCGGGGCACTATCTTGGCTCAGGCGCTCTCTCTGGGTGCTGCTTCCTGAAGTCTTCGCCTGTTGAGCGAACCCACCAGAAGGCTGCCTCCTCCCCGGATTTGGATTCACGTCAGTCTGTATTGTTTCTAGTCTCGGAGGTGACGGACATCTCTGTCCTGTAAAGAATAGGGGATGGGCAAGAGGCAGAGCCGAAAACTGGGGCTCCAGCAGGGAGAGAAAATCAGGCCACTTTCTACCTGCAGAGACCAGGTGGTCAAACCGCTGTGGTGTCTCTGGTCTACACAGACTCCAGAAATCACCACAGGGAAGAGCCAGGGGCTGGATTTGCAGCAGTGGGACTTCTGAGCTGAAAAGAAATTGTTTTCCATTGCCAACGACCTAATGGGAACAGAGACCACACACGCTGAGCAGAAGCGGATGGCCCTTCTCTGTCGTTAGCGTTCCTGAAAGGTGAGGCTTGACCCGGCATTTGCGACACTCATAATTTGTGTGTCTTCTTCAGAGCCCTTTCATTTTGTGCAAGTGCCTGATGGAAATGTTCTCTTAATTGCTGGAGCTGCAGTGGGAATAAAGCACCTCTGCGGTTCACACAAAATGACTGTGGAGGAAGCCCAGCCTGAAGCAAGCTAAGCGTTAGTAGCAACTACAAGTGCAATTATTGCTTGTACCCCAGGCAGAGCAGAGCCCTCGAGCGGGCAGACAGGCGGCCCTGTGAGTGTTCGAGGACAATATTTCAACTTGCGGACTAGAACTTATCTGAGAGAAGGGAGATGTCTTTCTACTTCTGTCTTCCTGCTACTGCAGTTAGTGGAGAGATTTAGATGCGAGTGAGCACAATCAGTATTGATTAGATTAAAATGCATGATAGTAAACTCTTAATTTTCCACATCAACAGCAAGAACCTTTTGTGCATAGCATTGGTAGAAGTAATAAAAATATTATTATTAATAATAAGTATAACCTAAAGATCTAAAAATAAGACCTGAAACCATAAAACTCCTAAAAGAAAGCATAGGGGGAAGTTCATGACTTTGGATTTGGCAATGATTTCTTGGATATGACACCAAAAGCAAAACAGACAAATAAGACTACGTAGAACTCAAACAACTTCTGCACAAGAAAGGAAACAGAGTGAAAAGGAAACCTACAGAATGGGAGAAAATGCATGCAAATCATAGCTCTAACACGCGTTTACTGTCCAGAATATAAAAGGACTCCTACAGCTCAACACCAACAAAAATAATCAGATTGAAAAATGGGCAAAGGACTTGAATAGACATTTCTCCAAAGAAGATATATAAATGGCCAAGAAGCATTGAAAAGGTGCTCCACACCACTAATCATCAGGGAAATGCAAATCAAAACCACAATGAGATACCACCTCACACCCATTAGGTTACTATCAAAAAACAAAACAAAAATTAAAAGTGTTGGTGAGGATGTGGAGAAATTGGGACCCTTATGCACCGCTGGGTGAAATATAAAACAGTGTAGTCACTAGGGAAATCAGGATGGAGTCTGCTCAAAAAATTTAAAAAAGAATTACCATATGATCCAGTAATCCTATTTCTGGGTATATATCCAAAAAGAATTGAAAGTAGCATATCAAAGAGATGTTTGCATGCCCATGTTCATAGCAGCATGATTCACAATAGTCAAGAGATGCGAGCAACCCAAGTGTCCATCGATGGATGAGTGGATAAAGAAAATGTGGTGTACACATACCGTGAAATATTACTCAGCCTGAAAAAAGAAGGAAATCCTGACACATGCTACAACATGGACGAAACTTGAGGACGTTTTGCTAACTGAAATAAGCCAGTCACAACAGGACAAATGCTGTACGATGCCACTTATACAAAGTGTCTAAAGTAGTCAAACTCAAAGAAACAGAAAGCAGAATGCTGGTTGCCAGAGGCCGTGGGGAGGGCACAGTGGGCTGCCGTTCTTCATGGGTACTGAGATGCAGTTTTGCAAGATGGGAAGTGTTCTAGAGATCCACTGCACAAAACGTGAATGCACTTCACACTATTAAACTATACATTTAAAAACGATTAAGATGCTAAATTTATGTCATGTGGTTTTCCCACAACTAAAAAATTTTTTTAAAAAACTACTACCACTTACCGACCACTACGTGCCAGGTGCCGGATTAAAGTCCTTACTTACATTATTTCACGTAATCATAGCAAGGCGCCCTGCTGAGGTAGGGACTATCAGTAACCCACTTTGCAGAGGAAGTAACTAAAGCTGAGAGGGAGAGTATTGTGCCCAAGGTCACACACTCAGAAAGGTTGAGTAACGTGCCCTAAGTGATCCAGCTAATAAGCAGCTGAGCTGGGATGAGGTCTCACCCCAAGGCCATTCCCGTAACTACCATGTCACATCGTGGGGCAGTTGGAGAAGCTGGGCTGGGTGACATTTTCCCACCCAGATGTGGTGCTCAGCCTCTGGCACAGCGTGAGGTGAGCTGGGAGCTGGAGAAGGGTGTGGGCTGCAAGCCTGGTAGTTTGGAACGAGGGATGAGCGACATTTCTTCCGGACCACAGGGAGTGTACATTTCTCAGTCAAGGCAGAGGGTTTGGGGGACGGTGGTGGGGGCTGAGCGGCCCAGTTTCCAGAAACAGCAAATCGAAGGCTAGTTTCCTGGGGCCGCATCATCTGAGCAGCCCACACCTGGATCACCTAAGAGGAAGAAAATGAAAGCAGCATCCACATGAGTGAACCAGCAATAGATCCTGTGTTAGGGGTTTTCCCGACTCATTTAATTCTCAGAAAAGAATAATGAATCAGGGTTCCGACTGCTGTCCAACAGACGAGGAAACTGAGGCCCACCACAGTTCAGGAACCGGCCCAAGGTGCCATGGCTGGTACGCGGAAGCCCTGGGACCACAGCCCAGGAGCCCCGGGACGCTGTGGTTCTCACTGTAAATTCTCGGCTGAACCTCCAGGGGGCCCACTGCCACATGTTCCTGGTCCACTCAGCCTCCCTCTCTCCTAGAATCCTTTTCCTCTCTCAAATCCTTACCACTTCCTCCCATCCTTATGCTGGGCGTCTTGCTTCCTACTTAACAGTCAGCAGAAGCAGCTGGAATAGAGCCTTCCGGGCTGCCCCCAAACCCTGCGCTGACTTCGTCTGTGCACAGATTCTGCCCTCCCCCCACCACAGCGGACGGGCCCTTGGTCGGAGGCCGTCCCTTCCCCACAAGGGGACACCATCCAGCAAACCTCCCTTCTGTCTCCTGCATCATTCATTTTCCTTCAATACTGGATCATTCCCACTCCAGCAAAACTACTTTTTTTAAGGTCACCCAGTGGTCTCCACAGAAAGGCGTTCCTAGCATATTTCACACCCAAGCAGACCATTTTTAACGCTCCCCCCTCCGTACAGCACAGTTATATTCAGTAAGAATCATTGTTTTCTTCATTCGTTCTCTAGTTTTAAAGCAATTAAAAAAGAGTAAATTTCCATTGCAAAACTATTCAAATTCAGTATATTTCATGACTAAAATGTGCACTTATCGAACCAAAATATTACACCTTGCAATTTACACTCTATTGTACTGCTCTAAATTTTAAACACAAATAAAAACTTCAATTGGTCACACAAAAATGACAGATTGAAGTAACTCAAGTTCTATTTAGAAAAGCGTACATTTCTAAGTCAATGCAGATTTATTTTGACACTCTCTGCCATTCTCCGAGCTTGGGAGAACTTTCTGCAGCCGCTGCCAAAAAATTGCAAAAAAAGCAGCAAAAAGCTCCCAAATGCAGGCGCTGAGTTTGCTTGCTACATCATGGAAAGTGGCCTAGGAATGTGCCCAATCGTTTGGCTGAAGCTCTCCGACAAGGCTTAGGCCTGGGACGCCAGCTTGTGGCGTGGATTTTCCCACGCTTCCCTTCTGAGGTCTCGGCAGACATGACTATTCAGTCATGGCCTGCGTGTGAGCCCTGAAGTGTCCATGATTCACCAGGCAGCTACTGTCGATTAACAGAGTTGGCATGTGAAATGACATTTATTTGTCATCTCCAGTTTAAAAATAGTTCAGTGTATACATTTTTATCCCATGCCAAATTCTGAAGCTCTAGTCTGTAAAGTATCTGAAGAGTCAAGAGTCTTAGACGGGTCGAGGTAAGGGGAGAGGACAGCCCCCACAGAGATGGCTCACAGCACTGGGGTTCCCCAGAGGAGACCCCCCCAGTCATCCTCAATTCTGCAGAACGAGACTCTCCCCTGAGTTCAAAATCTCTGCTCTAATTGTCATCTCTTCCTGCATCTCCCAAAGGCTTCCCTTACTCAGCGTGCCCAGACCAAATTCCTGTTCTTCCCTCTGAACACTGGCTTCTCTCTCTCAGTCTCCTCAGCAAATGGCCCCACCGCCCACCCACTGCCTGAGCCGGAGAACCCTGGAGCCAGGCTGAGCATCATACTCTCTTCCAATTCATCACTAACACCCTTGATTTTCTCCCTAGCCTCTCTTCCACTGTCCATTTCTCTCTAGACCACAACCATAGGAGGAATGACAATCTGAATTAGCATATTAAAGGCTCTGAGAAGTCCTGCACAGAAGAACTTGGTTAACTCAGGCTTTCCAAATCATGTTTGACCCAGGAACACTTGATCTCTGCACCACATCTCCCAAGGCTGTGCCACGGAATATTCTTTGGGAGACATCCCCTGACTTTTCTTTGGAGAGGTCTGTAGCATTTCCACTCTGTCTTGATCAGGAGCGGGGCCACCCCACTGCGGGTGCCAAGACTGTGTCACCTGGCCTTGGCAAGTTTCCTTTGCCCCCTGTCCCTTCCCTCTCTCATGGAAGGAACGACTTCACTCAACCCGCTGCATGGGGCATCTTCCGGGGCCACTTGCTATGACGAATGTGCGCAACATCAAGGGTTTGGGAGCTTTCGTGGTTTTTCATCAACAGCTTTTCAGCAGTGGCAGCGGGAAGTTCTCCTCAAGCTCACAGAGGGCAGGTCTGAGAGCTTTTCTGGGGCAGCACAAGCAGCGGTGTGCAGCTGAACAGAGGCCGTGTGCGCTTCCAGGCTCCTGGCACACCTGTCGGGCCGTCTCTTCAGACGCTTCTGCCTACATTTTCTTTCCCTTCCTGCCTACGTTGCCTTTCCTGTAGGGGCACATTTAATAAGGCACACGCCCACCCCTGGCCAGGGAGGTGTCCCTGTCATCACCACATTCTTCCCTCTGCTGTGGGAACGTTTCGGTGTTCCAATCTCTAAATATGCTCACTCATGCAGCGACTTTTAACCAGCGTGTTCTTTCAGGTTTCTATTTACACGCACATTCATTTATTCAGCCCGTTTTTCCTGTGCTAGACACTATCGCAGACGCTGGGGATGCAGTGGTGAACAAAATCATCAAAACCCCTGCATGCTAGGAACTAAGAGGAAGCGGACGATAAACAGATAAATGAAACGATCAACAGGAAAACCACAGCTGCATGGTGGTAAGCGCTGTGAAGAAAAACAAAGCAGGCGCTGGAGGCTGAGGGGACGGCCTGGATCTTTCCAGTCACGGGGTGGTTGTCGGGAAATGTTGGTTGGGTTGGGGCGTGGTGACGACTTCCCGAGGGAACTGGGGCCCCTGCAGGCCGACAGACTGCAGGTGCTGAGGAAACAGGCTGAGGCCTTAACTTGACCTTTTAACATTTAGTTGGCATCAATAACGGCATCTTCTATCTCTTTTGTAAATAGGCATGTGAGCAAACGCGAGACAGGACTCTTCAACGTACACAGAGAAAGAATCAGGTGCTTAAAAAAGTTCCTTATCTTAGCAGATGGACTGAAGTCATTGTCTGGGCCTAAATATGTGTACGTTCTCTTTAAATGCTTATTTCCTCTTTGAATTTAAATGTAGAAAGTGCTGCTTGGAGACAGACTTTTCCTAACTGGCGACGAGATGGCTTTGAGAGACACAGGAATGGACAGAGGCGTGAATCTCCTCACTCCCAAAGAGGAGGGGAGACTGCAGTGCAGACGTCCTCCTGCGCCACCAGGGCCGGAAGACGGCCTACCTCATGGCGCCTGAGCCGTCCACACAGCCTGGCACTGCTTTCCAACGAAGGCAGCCACCCGGTCACGGAAAAACGGCAAACTCCAGGAAAACACGGTGCCGGGGGCAATCTGGAGACCTCAAGGGCCCCGTGTGTGGAGATGAGGGCTGGTCCAGTGAGATGGATGTTTTCTAAAACTTTTTCAGTGCAAATGGATTTGAATCGTGACCATTCCCTCCAGGTTTACCTTCTTTGGGTAGATTTTCCTGACCATCCCAGCCCTCGACACCAGCTGCCTTCTCTAAAATCCAGGCCCTCTCTGTCTAGCTGCTATTTGTCCCTTCCTTTATATCACTCCCAGTGATGCCTGTGGTACCCATCTCCCCTCTCACTCGTGCTCGGCGGCGCGGGTGGGGAGCCGACCTCTCGTGCTTCCCTCGGAACCACCTGGGATCTAGTTACGGTGCAGAATCGAATTCACCAGGTCTGGGGTGGGGCCTGGGGCTCTGCATTGCTACCAAGCTCCCAGGCAAAGCCCTGGGGCTGGTTGGCACCTATGCTTTGAGTGGTGAGAGGGAGAAGGAGATTGAGTGTGACTTCACTAGGCTCAAACTCTGCTCTGCCCTTGACTGACTATGCAGCCTAACCTCTTTAAGCCTCAGTTTTCTTGACTTAAAATGGGCATAAGTACACAGTACATTTGTGGACAATGGCTATCATCCACAGTGTTCTGTATTCTCTTATGAGATGGTCAGTCAGCTGTGGCCACAAGAGACAGACGAGAGGCTCAGGACAACAATGTTTATGATGATCACAGGTCAGGAGACGGGGGCAGGGCATGTCATGCCACGCAGGGCCACGAGGGGAGGACACCAGGGTGGTCAGCAGGCAGAAGACGAACAAGGGGAAAGTTTAGGCCAGAAGCTTTACTGGAGTTTCCACGGAAGGACAAGGCAGGGCGGGGCGAACATCATAGGATTGGCTGGTTTGAATAATTTCAATGGGCTTTGGACCATAGGGGTGTCTCTAGTTGCCTGGTGCCTGGTGGGACTGATTAAGGCTGAAGAATATCACCCTCTTGGCTGGGCCGGCCAGAGAGAGGAGGTCTGGCCCCGGATGAGTTGGTTTGCATTTCAAGGGCCCGCCCTGGCTGGCCTTGTGCTGCCTCTAAGAACCCGTTAGCCCTCAAAGGGGCAGCCTCTCCCCAGCTAGAATGATGTCAGAGCATGGCAATATACAGAAAGTAAAATATATACAACGCACACATAAAGGGAACCTCTAGTTTATGAGTTCTTCACGGCTTTCCCTGCTCCCTTTTATCACGTTCATACCGAAAACCGATCTGCCCTCTTCTGACCCCGCACGGAAGCCGCACGCAGGGCCCCTCGGGCGGCTGGGCCGATGTGATGGATGCACATGTGGTGCACACTGCCTGGCACACAGTACTCCATACGTGGCTGCAGTGGCTGTTTATTTTTCTTCTTCTTGCTCACAGCTTTCCCAAAGCCCTCATAATCGGCACCGCTATTAATTTCCGGAGCAAACTGCCGAGGAACGGTGTGTGCGGCCTCTGAGGGCGAAGCAGATGTCTGGCACAATCTGTCTTCCTTCTGAGGAGCGCAAGCCGAACACGGGCCTCCTCACCCCTCGCTTGTATCCTCACCCTGAGTTGACCGGGCAAGAGCCTCCGCTGAGAGCAACAAATTACAGCGATCTCTGCACAGGCGGCTGGAGCTCGCCTTCCCGGGGCTTATAAACCAACTCGCGACCGAAACTGCGGAGAAATCTCTGCATGTCAGATATCGTCTCCTAATTGATAAGAAAGTGCTCAGAAATAGAACTGTCATCCCACAAATCCTGGAACTAATTGCCTTACACGAGGCAGGCTGCTGACTGTGAGCGGCGGTTCCCAGGGAAACGAGGCCCGCGCGCTGCTGGCTGACACCGGGCTCGGGAGCCGGGACCCTGCGGCGGGCGTGCGGCGGGGGCGGTGCTGGCGACGTCGTTTCGGGCTTTCTCGCTTCCGCTTGAAGGGCAAAGGCCTCAACCAGAGACTAAACAGACGCTCAGCCAACCATCAAAAATTAATCCGCGTCTGCACTTGCCCAGCACCTCTAGACGCCTGCCTGGACGTTGCACGGGTCTCAAACGCGGGGGCGTTCAAACTCCTAAACCACAAAGTTTGAACAGTAGTTAACCCTTTAGTCATGAGTGGTTAAGTTTTTCTTTGCTGTATTTTGGTTATTCCTTCATTTTCTTCCATGGACATGTCACTTTATCTTTTAGATATTACAAAACATTTCAGCCTACAAAAATGACAGCGATTATTAAAATGAGCACTCATGTACATTATCCAGATCTGGTTTTACATTTATAATCAGAAACAACCATAGTAATGACAACAAAATCCTTAAATTCCTGCTCATTTTCTCCTAATCTGTCTTCCTGACTTCCAGTTTCTGACGTGGGCAGCACTGCAATTTAGGCAATCAACATGAAAGGCTTGGAACTGACTGAAGGTTACCTGTTCTTTAACCGACAAGTCCAGTTGATGGCACCTCCACGTTTCTCGAAAAAAATTTCCTTTTTTCGTTTCCTTTGCCACTTCGTTTCAGTAGCCTCGATCACCGTTTTCTTCCTCATTCTCATCATTTCTGGATCCACAGTTTTAGCACCTGGAAGCAATCGTTACACTGTCCCCTTGCTTCGTTGCAATTGGAGAAATCAGCCGTCAGCCTCACTGTCATTCCTTTGTGTGTAATCTGTTTTTTTCTCTCTCTCTGAATGACTTTAAGGTCTTTTATCTTTGGTATTTCTGGGTTATGCTCAGACGCAGATGTCTTTTTAAATACCCTACTTGACATTGGTTAGGCTTTCTGAAGCTGAGGAAGTTAGTTTTCCCTTCATTTCTAGAAATTCCCAACTGTTGTGCCATCAGATTTTGTTTCTTTCTCATTCTTTATTTTTCTTCTTTCTGCCACCTTAGTTAGACATTCGAGGGAAATTCTCACTTTAGTCTCTGGTCTCCTAACCTCTCTTATTTTACATTTCATCGTCTCTCAGTTGTACCTTCTGGGTGGTTTCTTCAGGTGTTTCTTCCAGTTGACAAATTCTTTCTTTTGCTGAGTCTGTTTTGCTACTTAAATCTGTCCAGAGAGTTTTCAGTTATTACTTTTTTCATCCACACATTCCTGGCACAGAGCTTTAAAACCCCTTGGAATTTCTGATAAGAGTGTCTTTGTTATGCTAATGAGGCAACTCACGGGAGGTCCCCAGGCAGCTGCAGGATGGGGACTGGTCACCAGGAAGACCAAGCATGTGATTAGAGGGTAGGACTTTCAGTCATGCGCAGAGGGGGTGAGGGGGTGGGGGGTAGGGGGTGGGAGTGGTGGCTGGAGATGGAGTTCAATCACATGGTCAGTGATGCAGTCAGTCACCTACCTAGGGAAACCCTGATCAAAACTGGACACTGAGGCTTCCTAGTCGGTGAACACATGGATGTGCCCAGAGGCTGATAAGTCCTAACTCCATGGGAGAGGGCTCTGAAGCTCTGTATCCCTCAGAACTCCCCTCTATGAGTCCTTTTATTGGTGGGTCCTCCTCACTTGTGTCCTTATAATAAACTGCAATTGTCAGTGTAGCACTCTCTTGATTTCTGTGAGTTATTCTAGCAAAGTATTGAAGCTGATGGGTCATGGAAATCCCTGAATTTATAGCTCGTCAGTCACAAGTGCCAGTGGCCTGTGCATCCCCAAAGTGCAGCTGGCATGTGAAGTAAGGGGAGTCTTGTTGGGGACCATGCCCTTTAACTTGGGGAGTTTAACTAACTGATTGGCTAACTCAGGTGGTCGGTGCCAGAACTGTGCTGTAGAAGGTCAGGTAGGGGTTGAAACAGAAAAGAATCTCTATCTTCCCATTACTATATGTGAGACTTTGGGCAAATCACAAAAACCTCTCTGTGCCTCAGTTTCCTTATCCTAAAAAATCACAGTATTAGCAGTACCCACCACATACAATGGATGAACAATAAGTGAGATAACCCAGTGTCTGGTACGTTATAACTGCTCAAGAAATGTGAGTGCCACAAGCTCCTGCTCGGATGTCACCATGTCTGGAGAGCCTGCTCGGCTGTCCTAAGGAAAACATTATTCCTCTTTCCTTGGGGTGGGTACTGTCTGTCCCTCACTCTGCTTTATTTTTCTGTTAGCCCTTACCACCACTTCTATCAGTCAGCTCTTTCAGTGATGATGCTTTGTAACAAACCACTCCTCAAACTCAGTCGCTCCCAGTAGCAGGCCTTTATTTTCATGCTCACAGATTTGTGGGTCCATTGGACTGGTGGATCCCAGCTGGGCTTGGCCGAATGGCTCAGCTTCCATCTACAGATGGTCTGCTGGTCTTGACTCCAGGCTACAGGTTGGGTTCAAGTCAGCTCCATAAGTGTCTCATGATTCTGAGACCAGAAATACTCAGGGCGTGTTCTCACAGCATGGGCAGAAGTAGAAGAAATAGGCCAAACCCCGCAAGCATTCTACAGGCCTTTGCTTACATCGTGCCCACAAATGTCTTATGGGCCAGGAGGAGTCACATGGCCAAGCCCCGAGTTAAGGGAAATGTACTCCACCTCCTGTCAGAGGAGCTGCCTGTCCCGGGCAAAGTGTGGTGCATGATTCTAGCACAGCAGGGGGTGAGGAATTGGGGGAGGATGCTCCCCTCGCCACACCACTTGACATGTTATATTTTCATTTGTTCTCAATTGTTTTCACTTTTTCTGCCACTGTACTGTAATTGCAGGAGAGCAGGGACATTAGTTGTTCTGTGCACAGTTCTATCCTCAGCACCCAACACAGCCGCCCTTCAGCAGGTAGCTGTTGACCGAATGTGTGGGTGACTGAACAAATACGTCAAGTAGGCATAGTAGCAATAGCACTCATCCCCCTAACTAGTGCCATGGCACAGCTGCTAATAAGCTGTGAAGTGGCCACAAAGAGGGGAGAGGTGGGTGGACGGGGCGTCCTTGATGCTGAAGGGAAGGGCCACAGCAACAGCTGTCAGCCAGCTGCCTCCTTATACCAGAAACCTGCAGTGGGATAGCGAAGTCACAGGCTCGGAACCACGCCACGGTTCAGCCATGCGCATAACTTCGCACGGTCACACGTCTCTTAACGATGTGGATATGTTCTGAGAAATGTGTCATCAGGCGATTCGTCCTTGTCCGAACATCACAGAGTGTATTTGCACAAACCTAGATGGTATAGCCTTATACGCACCTAGGCTGTACTGTACTAATCTTACGGGACCACTGTCATGCACGTGGCCCATCGTTGACCTGAACGCCATTATGTGGCACACAACCGTATCTGTCTTCAAAGCAAGATTCTAAAGCAGGAGCCACACCAAAGTTACCAAAAGCCAGTGATGAAGCAGCACTGCAGTATCTCAATTCCTCTGGCTTTTCAATCATTCATTGTAAGAAAAAGCTCTTGTACCAAGCTGACTTTACTAAAGTAATGCTCATAAGCCGGTTGACAATGGCATTAACCAGCTCAATTCAGTAAGTAGAATTCTATATCTGTAATTGGAAATATTGAGTTAAGTTAAGCCTGCTTCCGTATGTAGATATATATATATATATATATTTTTTTTTTTCCTCAAGTAATAACACCATGAATGGAAAGAGCCCTAAAAATACAAATTCTCTGCAATTTAGCAAATTCAGGGACAATGAAAAATCTAATAATAAACTTGAAACAGACTAAATACTGCATAATTAGCACACTTGAACCAAAGGCAGAAGAAAAACATGTAATTAAATCTGAATAGGAAGAAATAAAACTGTTCCAATAATAGCTAAATCAACCAGAATGAGAAAGGTTATAAAAAACAACCTCTGATTGATTTCCCCAATAAGAAGATTTGGGACCAAACAGAAAAGGCTGGAAGAAAAAGGGGAAGATACTTTACTGGTACAGAGAAGTGAAGATGATGTAATTTCGCACAGCAAATCGTTGCTTTTCCAGAAGTGCTCTCGAAGGCCGAGTTCTCTTGTGGTTGGAAAGAACAAATAAAAATGTGTAAAATTCAGGTTACATGCGTTCATTAGGTACTAACTGTGCACAAAGCCCAGGATTAGGAGCTCTTGGGAAAGGTACGTGGCAAAGATGTCAGGGACCCGTCCCTATACTGGCATACTTACGGCCCTCGGGGGCCCCTGATCAGTGAAAGGAAAGTCAGGTGAGAGCAGAAGTCCCAAAGTTATCTTTGTATCACATGAGATTCGGGACTTTCCATGCTTTTGCTGAAACAGAAACAGGCGTTCACCACAAGGTCCGATCGATGGGCAATAAAAGGTGTCCCCGGCGGAGCCTGGCCCCAGCTTCCCATTTCAGTCTGCAGTTTCCCCTGAAGCTCTTCCTTGAAACTCAGACACTGTTAGACTCGAGTAAGGCACAGACCCTCCTTGACCTAAGTTACTTTAATTATGATATTATTTAAATATGCACAAATATAGATGTTGGTGTAAACTACTTATGCTTGTGGCTCAGCCAGAAAACCCAAGAAAAATACGGATTCAATACAGATCAAATGATAATCTTTTTGAAAATCAGATGAACGACAGTAAACTTTCTGCACATACCAGTGCCCAGCACAAAGTAGACACACGATGCAAATCTGTGGGATGAATACTGAAGAGTGATTTTATCATTGTCAGGATGCCTTTGAACTGACTCCTTTTGAAAGTGGGAAAGGCTGCCCTGGAAGCCTTTGGTGGAGCATCTCTGATCCCTCCGTGGAGACAGCAGAAACTTGGGCAGAAAGTGGCAGGAGCTCAGCTTGGGGAACAGTCTCACCTGCCCTGGAAGCACCCCAAAGGCAGGGACCTCAGTCAGTTTTGTTCACTGTGTTCCCCACACACCTGGGATAGTCTGGCGCATAGTGGAGGCTGAACACGTGTCTTAGTCCCTCTGGGCTGCTGTAACAACGTACCATAGACTGCACGGCTTATGAACAACTCAAATTTCTTTCTCATAATTCTGGAGGTTGGAAGTCTGAGATCAGGGTGCCAGCATGAGAGCTCTCTGCTGGGTTGCAGACTTCTTAATCCTCACATGGTGGAAAGACAGGGAGAGACCTCGCTGGGGTCTCTTCCATAATGTTACTAATCACATTCATGAGGGCTCCACCCTCATGACCTAATCACCTCCCAAAGGCCCCTCTTCCTAAGACCACCACACTGGGGGTTCGGAGTTCAACATATGAATTTTGGGGGGACACAGACACACAGTCTGTAGCAACATGTATTTGTGGCATGCTTTTGTGGCTCCTCTGCCCAGTGCTCTGGCCCTTCTTCTCACACCTGAGCACAGGAAGTTTCCGTAGATGCTGACCCTGCTTTCCTACTGCCCTGCAGCTGCCTCTGCCTGGCTTAATCCTAGGTGCTGCTTTAGAGCACAGACTGGCAAACACCAGAAGAGCGAGCAGCTATTTTAGGCCAGGGGAAAAAACCAGCATCAACAGAGGACAAGAGGCCTCAGCCACAGCAGGGTGTTCAATTGATATTTGAATTAACTAACAGGAAAGAGGGGCATCCCTTATGTTGAAGCTGGGGCACCTTGAATGCTGGGGTCATTTCAATAATCCCCTGGTTTAAAAATTCTTCTTCTGGTAGGACCCCATGGAGGGAAAGGAGGACAAGCAACATAAGAGATTACTACAGAAGAGTGACATCAGTATCATGGGAGAGTGAGCCATTCCCTTAGTCTCTCCCCCCAAGATACAACCAAAAGGATGTTCAGTAACCAACAGGGGATACCCACACAGCACAATAGGATGTCTAAGAGATCCGCACAGCTATACATCTGAAGCTGGGGGTACTGGATGCCCAGGCAGCAGTGGAAGGAGGTGAGCATGTATGCTCCTCCTCCCAAGCAGCCGCAATATAGGTCACAAATCCTCACACAGCAGTTGGTGTGCAACTCTAAGAGGAGGTGGGGGAACAGGCAGGCCTCCATGCTAATTTTTTCACTTTCAGCATTGCATCCCAGCCCTCAGGAATGCTTCACACTGAGGTGGCTCAGCCACCACGTGGGCACCCCCACCAAGCCCAGCAGCCCAGGGAGGCTACCAGGGAGTGCAGAGTGGGCTCACATGCACAAAAAGAAGTACACTTCCCCTCCGCTCCTGCCTGGTGCACCAGCTCAGCTGGTTGGTCACAACAGCAGATCTGCACCAGAGTGCCTGTGCCTGTGTGTGCCACTCACCAAGCAGCAGTGGCCAGTGGGCAAATGCAGATGAACTCTGTAGGCACAACTTCCAGCAGATGCAGCAGGTTCGGAAAACA